TACCACTCAAAAGGAATTCGCTATAGCTCTAAACTTCAATTTAAGCAAAATATCAGCAACTGCCATCCTAGTAAACAACAACTATACTCATTGGGCAATTGGAATCAAACGATCGTTAAGACATTTATGTCTTGATCAATATCTAATCTCATCCGACAAACCTGACGATATAGCTTTAGAAGAACATCTCGCTAACAAGGAATGTCTAACAAACTTCTTAATTAATCGCATGGATGCCACTACTTCAGCTTTTATCGAATCTAAACTTCAAGTCAAAATCAATGATGAAGTAGATATTGAATACGAACCTTCAAAATTATGGAAAATCATAAGAGAAAACAAAGCCCCTATATCTGAAGCAGCACGATTCCAACTTGACAATGAATTAGATGAATTCCGACAAGACAATCGCACAAATTTAGAAACTCACTTAGCGAAGTTCAGAGAGATGAAGGATGAATTAACGTTTGCTGGAGGAGATCTTAATGATGGTCAACTAGCTAGAAGACTTATCAAATCTCTTAATCAAAACAATCAATTCATTTTATCGAACGTCTTTGATATGGTCAATCCACTTACATATGATGGTGTAGAGCAGTATATCCTGAAGAAAGAGAAAGAAATTCACAACTTACCTCAATTCTCCAATCTATACAAAAATCAATCATTTATACCTGGAGCTCACTCAGTTAATCGTAGCAACAACAACAATCGTTTCAATCAAGCTACTCGACCTAAATGTACAGTTGACCGATGTGTATGTAAGTACGGAAAAGATGAATGTTTTGAGAATCCTAAGAATCAAGATAAGAAGATTCAATGGCAGCAAGACTTGATTAAGAAAGGAAGATGGCGAGGACCGGTACCAAATCATCTGCAATCAGGCAGCCCTTCCAAATCATTTCAACATCGGAACACTACCGCCAATGTTGAACCTCCTATTCAAAACGATCAATGTTTAGATGAACTTACCGAAGCTATGAATTCAATGAATGTAACCACCGACACAGATCAACCAACTGTATTCCATGCTGACTACTTTTGCAGTAATAAAGCAGTAGAGGCTAAAGTTCCAAGTAATTCGTTTGGTCTAGCAGATACCGGATCATCTCATCATATGCTTAATAATCTCAAGCATTTCGATCAAAGCTCATTAATACCTAATCCGGATCCCAGCAAAAGATTAAACTTAGCAGGAGGAAGTGATACCCTTGAGATTGAAAAGATTGGGACGGCCTACCTACTCGATGCCGATGGAAACACGATGATCTTTGAAAATTCATTATACGTACCATTATTGAACAAGAATTTAATCGCGGCTGGAGCTCTAATCAAGAAAGGAGTAATACCAGTTGTTCACCCAAATCATTCACACATCTTTAGCCTCAATCTTGGAAAACGAACCCTTTTTCGTGGATTCTTCTCAGGAAATCTCATGGTGGTCAAATTAATTGAATGTCCTGTACGTCAAGTTTCAACTCATTCTTCATCATCATCTACCAATCAACCGTCTGATACAATTGAAATCTTACATCATCGATTAGGCCACCCGAATTTCACCTATCTCCATAAGATGATTAAGGATAAACTGGTGGAAGGGATATCAGATGATTGTGACCTGACTAAACCTAAAGATTGTATCGCTTGTATAAAATCCAAAAGTGAAAGAACCCCTTTTTCTCACACTAGACCTCGTGCTTTCAATAAGTTAGAAAATGTTCATGTTGACTTGAGTGGGATTGTTCGGGGATATATCAATGATGGATACCTTTACTACATCCTGTTTACCGACGATTTCACTGGGATGTGTTTTGTTTATTTCTTGAAATCAAAAGACAAATCAACTGTTTTCAATGCTTTACAAGCCTTCATAACTTTTGCTGAGCGACAAAGTGAACGAAAAGTCAAGTGTTTCACCCTTGACCAAGGGTCAGAGTTCTTCAACAACCTCTTTGTTCCCTACTGTAAAGAGAACGGCATCTGGTTACATGAAACTGCCGCCTACACACCAGAGGAGAACGGCGTTTCCAAACGAGCTAACAAGACAATCACCTACAAAGCACGAGCTCTACTTCAACATTCAAATCTACCACCGAGTTTTTGCTTTGAAGCAGTAAATACAACTGTCTATCTTGATAATTGTACAATTTCTCTCTCTTACAATAAAGGAACAATGACACCATTTGAGGGATGGTATGGTCGAAAACCATCTGTATCTCATCTACAAACCTTTGGCTGTGGTGTTGAATTTGTCATCCGGAAGAGTCAGCGTGATGGAAAATTTCAGGCCATCACAAAGACTGGCGTACTCCTGGGTTTCACCACGGACAATTTCAATTACCAAATCTATGATCTTGAATCAAAGAAGATTATTGTTTCTCACGATGTCAAATTCAGAGAAGATTTCTTTCCTTTCAGAAAGTCCGTCAAATTCAGTTATGAACATTTATTTTCAAAAGAAGAAATGAATAAAATCAAAGAAATCAATCCACAACTCGATCCCATCATCAATATGGATGATGATGACTATCCCCTTCTACACCACACACCTAATCAACCTAAAGCGCCGCCGATGATCACTCGGGAGTCTGAACCTCCAGAAATGATCGAACGGACGGATGCATCAATCCAACCCGAGCTATCTGAAGAGACCTCGGAGGAGTCTGAACCTCCTTCCGATGCAACTCCGAAAGAAAAGCAACCAGCGAAGCCCGCTGAACCAACAATCAGACGCTCTACCAGAGAACATAGAGTACCTGACCGATACACCCCATCATCAAATCATACCTTCTGGGCCGATATCAACGCATTCATTGCAAGTGATGACATCGATGCATACGGTTTTGCAACTACGCCAACTGTCCGACTAGTCGACGAACCAAAAACCTACAAACAAGCTATGAAATCAGCTCAGAAAAATGACTGGATAGCAGCCATGAACAAAGAACTTAACTCAATTAACCAACGAAAAGTGTGGACAATAGTCCGCCGTCCAAAGAACCGCACTGTCGTAGGAGGTCGATGGGTTTTTCGAGTTAAACCAAACCTTGACGGATCAATCGCCAAATTCAAGGCAAGATATGTCGCAAAAGGATTTTCTCAAGTGCCTGGAGTGGACTATCATGAAACCTACTCGCCTACAGGAAAACCAGCTTCTCTTCAACTCCTTATTGGCACCGCCGCATTAAACGGATGGCCAATTGAATCCATGGACGCCATATGTGCATTTCTCAATAATCGGCTCGACTACGAAATCTATATGGAGTTACCAGACAATTTAAAAGAAGAATATGGTGATGACATGGTCGCATGCCTCAGAAGTACAATTTATGGATTAAAGCAGTCTGCAAAATACTGGAGTGATGACGTTACTGAGTATTTATTATCAATTGGATTCAAACAATCGGATGCAGATGCATGTTTATTCATACGTATATCACAAAATGGAAAACAATTTTCAGCCATGTATATACACATTGACGATATGGCGATCACGGGTAATGAAATCTCAACCATCAAAAGGCTTATTGCCAACCGATGGGAGATGGAGGACCTGGGAATTTCTCACTGTATTGTAGGTATACAAATCTCAAGAACCTCAAATTTATCTTACGCCATTGGACAACCCGCAATGATCGAAAGCGTCCTGGAACGATTTGGAATGTCTCAATGTAAACCAGCTAGCACCCCCCTTGTACCCGACATGAAGCTCACTCGCGCCACTGATATAGAACACACTGAATTCATTTCTCAAAATCTACCTTATCGAAACGGAGTAGGGTCACTAATGTATCTATCGCAGTGTACCCGACCTGATCTCTCTTACGCTGTTGGTGTATTATCACAACACCTCGACCGTCCTTCTCGAGCTCACTGGAACGCCTTCATCCACGTTCTTCAATACCTACGTGGAACGACTCATTTATTTATTGAGTACAACGCAGGAGAAGGAGGTCTTTCGGGCAATCAATCTTGGAATTGTCCGTACGGATTCTCTGATGCTGACTGGGCCGGGAACAAAGACAATCGACGATCAACGACCGGGTATATTTTCAAATTTTTAGGGGGTGCCATCAGTTGGAAAAGTCGCCTTCAACCGACTGTCGCCTTATCTAGTACAGAAGCAGAATATCGTGCTACTACAGAGGCTGGGCAGGAGGCAACTTGGCTGCAGACGCTATTAATATCGTTAGGATACACTATCACAGAACCGACACGTTTACATTGTGACAATATGGGCGCTATACACCTTACATCAAAGACTATCTTCCATGCTTGAACCAAACATATCGAGATTCAATACCACTGGATTCGAGAGCTCGTTAAGAGAGGAACAGTTGAGCTCAAGCACTGTCAATCACATAAAATGATCGCAGATGTGCTCACAAAGCCGTTGGGAAAAGCACCTTTTCAATACTTAAGAAGAGCTATTGGACTTCATCACAGAGAAACAACAACTTAGTTTAGACACCGGGCTCAATTTTTTTTTATTCTTCTTATTTCTTTCTTCTTCTTTCTTTCTTATTTTTTCTCTTATTCCTTACTTATTGATCAATATTTCTTTATATGACCTGTCTTCTTTATTTTGCTTGTCGTGCTTGAGGGGGCGTGTTAGAATACAGTGACAGATTACAATCAACATTTCAAACACGACAACCAAGTCTGTACAATTCAAACCTAATACAATCTGAATATCAAACCTAACTTAATTTATCATCAATGTATCACATTTAAATAGAACTAACGCCTCAAACACGCCAATTCTCCTCATCAGTTCACTGAGGAAATTGGCGTGTGAGTTCTTTCTCTCATACATTCTCAAAATCCGAATGATTGTTATTGATCTGTTTTCCTATTGTTTCTATGTTGTTAGACCTCTTTTATTGTGTTCTCTCTCACCTTTTAGGTGTGTTATTCTTGTCGTCTCCGGTGTTCAGAACCGTGTAGACTTACACCCGCTTTCTGGTGTTCTAAGGACATCCTTTATAAGGAGTCTCGAGTTTCTTCATATTCTCTCATCAGATGGAGGTCTTTGGTAAAGTGAATGAGCTTAAGCAGAAAGAATCAAGGAGCTTCAAGGTGTTCATGGATCTCATTCGAAACAACGGCGAAATCAAAATCAAGAGATTTGAGCGAGTTCAACTATAGTGTGATATTCTTAGAAATATGCGAGCAACATAAATCAGGAGATGATAGAGATTTGTAGAAGTCAAACCTGTCAGGGCTGCAGATATGAGTATTGATGTTCATAAAGAATGCATTGGGTGATGTTTACTTTTGTCCCCAGCTTTAGAGTTGTATTGTTTGTTGAACATCTTTCCCAAGCAAAAAAACCTTTTATCAATTGTTCTGCCTTCTTTGAAAACACAAGGAGCTTGTGAGATGACCTCCAGAAAATCCCACACATAGAAAAGCACGAGTTTTTTCACAAGAGAACTGAGGGCCTCACTGATGACGGGGACACAAGCTACTTAACCATTGCCTTTTGTGCAGTCACTGTGGATGGACCTATCCATTGCATCCTCTGAATCTTACGTCTTTCAGCTTTGAGGCCCCAAGGATGTTTGTATGTATCTTGAGAACCACTCACTTTATTCCAACACAAAGGGTGAGAGGTTGTAGAGGAGACTCAGGCACATTTTTTTGTTAGTGGAACCTGGACATGTTGAAAATTGAAATTCAGCCTGAGACCTGAACCACATCTGGGGATCCGGCAGGGACCCCAATAGGTCCGGGGTTCAGGCAGACAATCTAAGAACCCCAATGATTGGGGATCCCCAAGAGTTGGGACTTGGGCGCAGGATTGATAAAAACCACTTCTTTCTGGGTACCCAGCGGGTAAAATATTGGTGCATACACACCAATTCAGAGACAAAGATTTCCACCCATGGGCATTGGAATGGCACAGACAAGCAGCTGACACCATGGGCAAAAACCTGTTGCAATGCTGCAACGGTCTGAAACATCATCTATACAGTACATACCCAATTTTGGAATGCAACAACTCTTTTTGAGATGCACCAGCTTATTTTGAGCTGTCTTAATTGTGTGCTGCAACACCAGTGTAATGCTCTGGGATGTAGTTTGTAAAACAAGTCTCTCAGAACGGAGAAGACTTTTTGGTGCGGCTCAAAGCAGTTCTTTCGGAACGGGATTCTTGTCTCAAATTTCGGAGACGTCAAACAAGAAAGCGGATAAGATAAATAGTTAATCTGATGAAGAAAACAGCAACAAGGTTCGCGAGGATACAAAGTATATATATGAGTCGTAACAATTGTAATTTGTAAAATAGCCATTAGTCAATCTTGTTCCTGATCGTTAACAGTTCCCTGGATTTATGTATAATGATAAAAACATCATGTTCTTACAAAACTGTTTGAGCACAGATCTCAGAATAGTTTTTCCGGAAACATTACTAGCCGGTTTCCGATGATAGGTACAATCATGACAAATTATGACCCCCCTTATACCAAAGCCAAAGAGAAGGAAAAAAAAACACCGCGTGTATGCCTTCACATACCCACAACTTGAATGGCTTGTTTAGGCACACAGGGGTTGGCAATACACAATTAAAAAAAAATCCTCTTCTTAACGGGGTGCTGAATCCACCCATTGCTTTGCTCTTGCTATCCAAACAAGATCTCCAGGTCCACGGCCTAAGGCAGGTGACAGACAATGAAAGTGTTCTAAATGAACATCCAACTCCAGAGGTAGCTGAGTCAAGGGTAACCAATGGTTGTCCAACGGTGAGCCATCCTTTAGTCGTATTAGATACTCATGGACTCCTGTTGAATCCACGCGATAATTCAAAATGGTCTTGATTTCTGGTTCATTGTGAATCAATAGTGAGTTCCATCGTCCATCCGATGTCGAATCCGAAGGTTGAACCTGCCCTACGCATGGCATCAAGAGAGAAACGTTAAAGGCAGGGTGCAAACGCTTCCAAGCAGCAGGTAGATCCAACTCAGCTGCATTTTTCCCCACCATTTTGATTACTCAAAATGGGCCAAGGCGTCTGGAATCTAATTTGTTGTTAGGGTGCTTGGTCTTCAGATGACGACAAGACAACCATACCAGATCACCAGAATGATATGTGGTCTGTATCCTATGATCCTTGTTGTAAAACCTGGCTTGTGCTTCTTTTGCTTGGGTAAGGTTCGTAGTCAAAGAATCCTGAATTTCCTGGATGTGACGGACAAAGTTATCTGCTATCGGACAACCTGAAGAACCTGTCAGTGAATTGAAACTTGGGTGGTATCCTTGCAATACAAAGAAGGGGGACATCTTTGTTGAACTGGAGGCAGAATTATTGTAAGAAATCTCTGCTAGCAGGAGCCATTTGGACCAATCATCTTGCTCTTTGGAGACGAAGTGGCGGAGATAATCTTCTACTAATGCATTGATTCTTTCCACTTGTCCGTCAGTCTGGGGATGAAAAGCGGTAGAAGGGGCAGGAGATACTCGCAGCAGATGAAGCACACTTGTCCAAAAGGCTGAGACAAGCGTAGTCCCGCAATCAGAGACAATCACATTAGGTAGACCATGAAAGCAAAAAGCCTGTTAAACAAAAGCCCATGCTAAGTCGTCTGCTGACCCAGATTCTTTTGCCGGAATGAAATGAGCTGCTTTGGAAAAGTGGTTGACAACTACCATAACAGAATCAAAACCCTGTGAAATCGGAAGTTTTACAATAAAGTCAATGCCTATAGTGGCCCAAGGTCAATCAGGAATAGGTAACGGAATGAGCTGGCCTTGTGGCGGTCTGTGATCAACCTTAGCCTGCTGACAACTAGCGCATTCTGTTATGAACTCCAAGACGTCCTTGCGTATATTTGGCCATCCAAAAGAACAAGTCAATGATTCTAGGGTCTTCATAGCGCCCCAGTGGCCACCTGTTGGTGACACATGAAACTGCGCCAAAACGGTACTCCTAAGGTTCAAAGGAACATAGACTCTGTCTCTCCACCACCATAATCCGTTGAAAAAGTGTAAAAATGATGGATGTACTCCGGTGATAAGATTGTCTGATCTGTAAGCTTCAACGAACGTTCTCATCAGTCCCTTGGTCAATGGCATGTAAGAAGACGGATCAAAACTCCCCGGATTTCTGATGTAGATTGTGTTAATAGTGGTGTTTGCTACCTCTCTGGAACCTAGCAAAACAACACGCGCTGAATCTTCTTTTCCACCCACAAAATCTAATCACCTGGAGGCTGGGTTGGCCGGGTTGGTTTTCCCTGGAGTATGCAAGATTCCAAAATTGAATTCTCCTAAGAAGGATGCCCATCTTGCTTGTCTTGGTGCAAACAACTGTGAAGTCATAAAATGACGTAAGTTCGCGTGGTCAGACAGAACGGTGACTGGCACATCAGTTCCCATCAGCCAAGCCCTCCATTTGTGAAAGCAGGCCACTATAGCTCCTAGCTCTTGATTGTGGATCTGCCATTGCCTCTCCGCTTCTGTAAGTTTCTTTGAAAAATACACAACCGGTGTAGTATTTAAAGCTCAACAAGAGCTTTACAACACCTAAGAAGGGATAATCTACTACGTGTAATATAGTAGAAGTTGCCTAAAGACTGCCTTCTTCAAAGAAACCAGCACAAGGGCACTTGCTGACCACTTTGTGATAACAGAGAAATAGATAAGGCACCAGAGAAAATAAAGCAATACTGTTGTGTAGTATTATTCCCAGTTTTTAAGCGCAAAAAAGTCACACACTATGTTTATTACAAGCAATACTGTTGTAAGTATTATTCCCAATTTGACTTGTAGTCTTTAACACACGTAAATAAATTTCTCCTTGCTTTGAAGGGGCAGATTTAAGTGATCTTAGTACAAATATAGTAAATAAATGATGATTTATAACACTACAACAAAGGTATAAGATGCAGAAAAGGGCGCTAAAATCCTAAAATCATCAAGGAGTACTTATATCCACATTTAACAACTTTTACAACAGTCAACAGCCTCAAAACGAATCAAATCCGCCTAAATAACCCTAAAAACCATGTAATGACGCAATGTAATGATCTTATTACTAATGTATGATGTAATTTTCACAGCCAAAAGTGATCAATGACGCAATAATATGATGTACAGCACTTCTTAAGATGAATACAGGTGATTTTTTCCTTGTAAACTAGCTGAAACCCAATTTTTGAGATTACGAATTTTTTCAGATGTGCTCCAATTTTTGATTACTGAAGTGCATCTTGTAGCCCACGTGTTACTGATCATTTCTGACACCTACATGACCTACTTCTGATGAGTGATGAGTAAGATATTGAGTTGTGAAGTTAAGGTTTTTGGTGTTACATGTTGACTTGTGACTGTAAATTCAAGATTCACACCAATTTCTTATTTGCCTTATAAATTTCTACATACACCTCCGTTACTAATGATTTGAAGAATGTACATTATGTAATCCACTCTTCTGCGTTGGATGATCTATCTATCAACTTAATCTGACGTCATTTGACATTTGTAATTAGCTAAAAACCTTCATTTTCCACGAAATTTACCCATTTTCTTCACTTTTCACAGCTGCTACTCTCTTTTTCTTGCTCATGTAATATGAAATCATCTTCTATAACCTTAAAAATCCCGGAAAATCCTCTTGGCAACCTTAATTTCCACTACTACCACCATTACATATGTAAACTACACGCATAACCCTTGTTTACCAACTTCAAAAACGTACCTTTCTGCTAATAACTTCTGCTTTCCCTTATCAACATTGAAGATTAAAATTGTGACTGTATAATAAACTGTTGTTCTTTCATATTCTAACCTTATAAAACCCATAACTCAATTATAAATAAGCTAAAAACCATTTTCCAACTTTTACACCTATATTTTCGATTTTTTCTTATCTTTTCTTCTTCTCTCTTTTTGTAATAACTTTATAAGTAAACTATGTTGATCTTGAGAATAATTTTGAAATGAGATGACATAATATTGAGCTAATAAGTATTCATAAGCCTCTAAGAGGTTCAATCAATCTGAAAACCTGGATTTTGAATTTCTTGTCACACTGAAGTTTTCTAATAACTTGGTAAAGTAAAGATGATTAATTTTCTTGCTTGATATCATAAATAGATCACCACAGCGGAAGAAGCAAAAGAAGCACCTCAAAAATGAGCAGCAGA